GCGAGTTCGAATCCCGCCACGCCGACCATTGATAGCAAAAGCCCAGAACCAAAAGGTTCTGGGCTTTTTTGCTTTGGGCTCACGAGGAACCATGACGCCTAGGCATCGGCGTGGCCTCTGCGGCTATCGCAGGCGCCAGATGGTACATGCCGACTGCGATGCCACTGTTGTGCGGCTGTACGCTACGACGGCCGCAGGCTGAATACACAACACGGGGTTTTCTGATGATCGAAGGACTGGTGGCGGGCAGGCTGTACGGTGATGTGGAGCAGCGCACGGACAAGGCGGGCAAGCCTTTTACTGTTGCCAGGGTGCGTGCCAGCACCGGTGATGGGGAGGTGCTGTTCGTGAATGTCATTGTGTTTGATGCGGCTGCACGGGCCGATATCGGCCGTCTGGTAGAGGGGGATGCAATCTCTCTGACCGGGGCGCTCACTCCGCGCGTATGGACAGACAAGCAAGGCAACACGCGACCTGCACTGGACATGGTGGCCCGTCGGATACTGGCCCTGCCGGTGGACGGAGAGGGCTCTCACGTCAATCCCGTTGGATGAGCGTCGCAGCAGCGCCTCAATGCTCAAATCAGGCGTGGGGCAAGTTGCTGCGGTGGGGCCGCCGTGGGGCCGTGGGGCAAGTGGGCATGCCCGTCTTTGTGGCCTGCAGCACCCTCGTTGCTCCTGGATGCGCGTGATTCAGTCTGTTTTTTGGGTTGGGGTGCCGCTCACTGAGAAGCCCAGCGCCCTGAGCTCTTCTTCGCTCAAATCCAGTTCCACCATTTCTGGTTGCCGTGCTTCCACGCTGAGGCGTCTCTCGAATTTGTCCGGAGGGCCGTCTTCTGACTGGCGTCTATCCTTGCCGCTGCGTCTGTCGACAGCAACTCTGCGGTCTGCACTTATGATGATGTTTCAGGAGGTATTGGTGAAATGGACGACAGTGGCTGCGTCCCCTTCGCGGATCACCTATCAGTGTGCCCAAGGCATGCTCAATTGCAAACCGCAACGAAAAAGCCCCTGACTCTTGCGAATCAGGGGCTTTTTGTTTGGTGCCGGAGAGATGAATCGAACACCCGACCTTCTCATTACGAAGGCCGGTAGGGCGCATTCTTTGGGGTCTTTTCTCTCTGTACGTGCAACTCCGTTGTTTGTCATCAACACACTGGAGTTACACCATGCTTGACGGTTTTCCTCTCTATTACCGACAATGGCCGGGCCTGTGCACCCGCCTCAAATTCATAGCGCAGGCCATCGATCAAATTCGGCGGTTAAAAGGGCTACGTCCCAAATCTTCATCAGCTATCGACCCGGGCTTGGCGGGTTCCGCGATAAGCGGCTTCTAGTTTTCATCCCCCCTCTACGTTGCGGCGTGTCTTGGTTTCTCTAAGGCGCGTAGCTGCGTTCGTTTGTCTTCGCGCGGGGACACGCTTCCCTGTGCAACGTCTTGGAGATAGCTATGAAAGATTTCGAAGTGAATGGGCATACCACGTCTACGGCTCCCGCATCGGCCGGTTGGCCGGACGCTGCGGGCGCGG